GGGAAGGAAAGAGAGAATATATATATTAAATTATGTAAATAGAATACAAAACTTTACCTAGATGAGAAGGGTTTCAGGAGTGCTAGTTACCTACAATTATCTCCCCATCTTCCACCTTTTTTTATTTCATTGCTTGGGTTACTAATAGTTTACTGATAACATTTTTTTTTGAAAAAAAAAACTGATATTTATTTAGCAACAATTTTTGCCAGAACAACTGTGTGGAGAAATGAAACAAGCAAATACAATATTATGGATTAAAAGAAGTTATTTGAGATTTTAATTTATTTTCCATTTTGGTATGAAGTGCTCTTCCTGTAGCCCGTAAATGATTTGCAAACAAATCAACTTTTACCTTGCTCTTGTAATCCTTATTGGATAGAATACTATATAGTACACGAGCGTGCCAACATATAATGTGGGTTATTTCGTGTGATAGAAAATTTTATGATTAGCGGTGGTATGGAGAGGTTGGATACCCATTACGATTTTCCAGATTAATATTTTATTTAGTTTTGCTAAAGTCCTGTAATAGCATTTGCTGCCTTCTTATTATCTAATTATACCTTTTTATGGGGAATGATGTTTCGGGAATTGGTTAAAGAACAGGGAACGTGAGGAAATTGAGAAAAATGGCTGAATCTTTCCATTGAGAAGATAGGTGAATGAAATTTATCATGTATTGGAATATTTAAAATACAACAGTTTTTTCGTTAGAATACATAAATATATAATGAAATATTCTACTTGCTGATTTCGGAAATAATATTATTAGAGGTGTGACATGGTATGTGTCTCTAGCTTGTGCCGTGTTGTGGTTTTTACTTGTGTCCACGATTTCTTTCTATGGAATTTTGTCACTTGTTACCAGTTTAGCCACAATGTCAATATCCATTCGTTCGACTAATGAAAAACGTCGTGTAGTAGTTTATTTATTTGCCAGTTGCCACCCAAATTGCCGACTAGACTTTCAAGTTAGCTTTTTCATTTGTCAAATTGATGGGCATAGACGAAATGATCAAATTATAACAAACAAACATTCAAATTAGTTAGAGAGACAAAATTTAAGTGAGAAAGGTGCATAGATTTATAAATTATAATCAGTTATCATTACATAAATAATTTTTTTTTTTTTTTGTGTTACAGTTGAGCTACCATTTACTTTCCCTACTTGCGTATAGGTTGGGTGCTACAATGAGATTTACAGGGTACTGAAAACAGGTCAGTGTTTCGCTGCGTATGAGTGGTGTATAACTGATGCCTTCGACCCCAATAACCAAGAGCACCAAAAGATCAAGGTGTTTGCCATATCACACATGGTTTTGAGCTTTTACATCATGCTTTAATCTGAATAAATTTTATAGATGCAGGTAGAAATTGAATTGGGCAATGGCCTCCTTAATGTAAGGCTGATATGGCAATGCCTTGTAGCTGTTAAACAAGCAGGTTTTGAAGTGAGTAGTTCAATCTTGGTTATTCTGGTGGTTGGTTAGGTTGCATGAAATATAATTAAAGCAAGGGTGTAAAAAGAACTTTTTTTTTCTTTAAAGGTTGTATGGGAGAAGGATCTCGCAGCAGACTCGCCCCTCCCATGGTACTTGCCTCTGGATAAAAGTCACTTCTCACTCAACAGTTTCCGTTTGACAGCAATAGACGTTTTATCACCAACAATATGGTAAGATTTGTACATCTACCATCTGATTTCCTTGTTTAATTTTCTTTCCTATATTAACTGGTAGAATGTATCTTGTTTGTATCATTTAATTTGAATTTTACTATATGCATTTTGTTCTGTGATAAACAAACAGTTTCTTAAATTTTACATTTGCCATTGTAGGTCATGGCTCTTGAAAAAATGGGACTTGCCCTAAAGGGAAGTCAAAGGGTTCAAGCTTTCTTGGAGAAAGCTGCAGAAGGACTTGTTGCTGGTGGAGAGTAAGATTATTCATTGCTCGAATGCTGGTGGAGAGTAAGATTATTCATTGCTCGTATTCGATTTAGTTTATATTGCTGCGAGTCTTTTATCAGAAATTGCATGTAACACGACAAAAATTAGAAGTTGCATAATGTGTATGCATCCAGCACATGTTGTTAAAAGAGATTGACTGCCATGCTTGAGTTGTTCGAGTCATGATTGGTTTGGCAGGAATAAGTTAATAGTCTATGGATTAAGCTTAAAGAGCACAAAGTAGAAGCATTAAGCAATTTCTTGGATTATTAAACCCTCAAAGTTTCTTTGTAATTTCTTGGAACTAGTCTTGTCTTTGGATATTCTCCCAAGTTTGCTTACTTTGTGTTTGACTAATTGTCATTAGGAAAATGAGTTGCGATGATATAGCAATGGTTCTTGTATTTATTTATTTATTTTTATTCTTTCTACCTCTAATTGGAATTTCACTCCATTGTTTGTCGTTATTCAACATAAAAATCTATT